ACATGGCTGATGGCCTGGTCCGCAGGCCTCAGCACATGCTGAGGGCACAGGAGAGGAGCCTGGAGCTGCATTGTGAAAGCCCAGACACAGCTGAAGGGTGGGAACAGATCTACACCTGAGATGGTTCCTTTCCATGGTTTTTATTCTCTCATTTCCACCTAGCGGTGATGAGAGGGCTCCTCCCAGCAAGGATGTACAGTTGCACCTGGTCATGAAAACCCATCTGCATGCACTTCTCCTTTGGGAAGCAGCTGAGCACCCCACCTCACCTCTCAGCTACCTGACAGACTGAGGAGATGCTGGGGAAGGCCTCGCACCAGCTGAGCACCCCACCTCACCTCTCAGATACCTGACAGACTGAGGAGATCCTGGGGAAGGCCTCGCAGCATTCAGTCGGAGGCTGCACATCCTCCTTATCCTGTGATGTTTGCCCCTCAGTTTCTGTGCACAGTCAGGCTGTGAGACTGCATTCAGCTCCAATTGCTGCCTACATCAAGTGACACACCTGAACTTCCAGCCACTCTGTGGAGAACAGTCCTACCACTGTGGCCCATACCTCTTTCTCAGTGTTCCTTAGGACTGATCCTACCTCCCCTCCATTAACCCTGAATATTGGTCTTTTCCTTCCGGGCTACCTCTTCCCTCTAACTCTCTCCTTCCAGCCTCCTCTGCTTGGTTCCCAAGCTCTTCAGGCTGTTATTTCACACACCTTTGGCTATCTGAGATCATTGTCCATCCACCTGCCCTAATCAGCCTTTGTGGTCTTCTGGTTTTGCCCACCCAGACCTGCATGGAGGTGGGAACTTTGTTTTCCCTTCCTTCCAATCTCTGCTGCAGGTGAAGCTGGCTGTACCCATCCTCCTCATTACCCATTAGATCCCTAGTCTTCCTTGCAACACGCCTGTGTTTTTGCCAGTTTCTTGCCTTCCCTGAGTTTCTTTCTCAACTCTGGCACTGGCATGAGAGTGCCAGTTCAGAGGCACCTGCTCTGTAATGCTGCATGACCAGCTGAGGGGCTTTTGGAGCCTGCAGGCAGATCAAATGCAGGGGCATGATGTCGAGGACGGATAAAAAGAGCTAAATATAGAGAAGGTGCAACTCAGGTTCAGGACTCTGTCCGAACCTTTAAATTCCTTCGAGGGAACACTCTAAATGAAGTTGGGAAATGTTCTCAGCCTCAGAAGAACAAGGAGCCACAGATGAGCGATAATAATAGCTCCAGCTTTGCCCATCACCTCCATCCATCACATCCCAGTGTGACTTACCCGGTGGTGCAGCTGCCTCCCAGGAGGACCAAGGCAGGTGTGCAAAAGAGCAGCTTATCATAGTCATGTAAATTTAGGACAGGAAATAGGAGAAACCAAACAGGGAAAGAATGGAGGAAAGGGGAAGGGAGTTTGGAGTCTGGCCAAAGCATGTTCCTGTCTGGACCAGTGAGACCTTAGGGTGCACATTTCTTGTGGATCCAAGAATTAGTTCACAGTTGCTCATGGTAGCTGCCCAGGCTGATTTTAATAGGAAAGGCCCCTAAATGGTGCACATTCAGTGCTTTCTGGAAGTGAGGGCTCTTTCGGATGGATGCTAAGCAGTGGAGGAAATCAAGTCCTTAGATAACTTTGAAAAAATCAATTCACCACCATCAGTACAGCTACTGATAGGAGGACGTTGGCACCAACACTGTTGAAGTTGTGCTTCCTACAAGCGTTGCTGAGGAGCACAGCACAGTCAAACAGAGCCTGGGCTTAGCTGGTTCATGTCATCCCTCTTCTGAGCTCTGTGCTCATCCTGTTCACAGCTCTTGGCTTTTGAAACCACATTTCACTTCTTCTGCTCTCCAACATCACAGTTCTTTCCCCTCCTGCCTTTTCCAACAAATTTGCTGGAGGCACCTGCTGTAGTGCTCCTGTCTGTTGGCAACCGTATCCATCCTGAGCCCTTGAGTGTCTGCTTGTAGCAGACCAAATGCCTGTAGTGTGGTGCAAGGCAGAGGGGAATCTGGAATCATCCCTCTTTTGCCTTTTGTTTCCACACCCTGACTTTTCAGGGCAGTGGCTATATCTCTTGCAACATGCCCTGGAAAGGGACCAGCTTGCACCGCAGGGGCTCTCTCACCGAGTGACCTGCATCACTCCCTTGTCAGGCTGCAACTGATGGGTGGAAAGAAAGGAAGTGGACTCCCTTATGATCTATCCTCCAGGTACCTTCCCTCACACTGGCAAGGGAGTGGTCCCTCTGTGGAATGTTGGGAGAGGACTATGAATAAAAAAGGGAAAGGTGCAGGAAGGAGGACTCGGTATTAATAGGCAGCATCCCTGGGTCTCTGTAATCCCTGAGTAGCTTCACAGGCTCGCCCTGGTGACCCTGGGCTCCTTGCAGAGCCGGATGCAGAGATGATCCCTCTCTCCTGTGATGGAGATCAAAGGTCAGGGTAAAATTACCCTGCTCTGCTCCTTGCTTTGTGAGGGCTCCTTCTCCATCCAGAGAAGCAGCCAACTGCAAAGACATGTGCACAGGGGTGCACCAGGAGCACAGGACTATGTGCAGGTAGCAAATGTCAGGTCCCTCGGGGAGGTGTAACCCTCATGCTCCAATCTGGAAACTGGTAAGATTCACCTGCCAAGGGGAGAACAAGCAACCCCATCCCAGTGCAAAGCCCCTCATCACTGTAAAGACATCTCAGTGCTAACCCCAAGTCCTTCCCTACCATGATCATACTCTCCCTCATTCTTGGATGGGATCAGCCCTAGTACAACGACTCCCCACAGAATCACACCAAGAAACTCAGGGTCCCAAATGCCAGATTCACCAAGGTGACCTTAGACATCACAAGAAGGCAGCATACTTACTGGGATCTGTAGAGTGAGGTGGGTTGCAGTCCCCTCTGGATGGGACCCTCACAGCCTGCCTCCCTTGCCAAGAACGGCTCCTCGCTGGGCAGAAGCCGCTTGTGCCTACGCAGTCTCCAGTCAGTCCTGTTCGTCCACCCAGTGAGTCCCCTGCTCCCTCTCTGTTCCTCAGCCTCTCCCAGGACTGATCTCCCCATGGGGAGCTGGAAGGCTGTGGACGGGAGGGGTTGGGGGAGGGCTGATTCCAGGAGCAGCGTCAGGCAAATTAAATCAGACACCAGAGACTTGGGGAAATCGGATTGGGACGTAATGCAAAGCAGGTGGATGGGGAGGGGTGAAAAGAGAGAGTAGCACACTGCTCCTGAAGGGAAAGAAACCATCACAGGCGGATTTGACTCCCTCTGTTTATATCAGCAACAAACTAATAAAGTGAAGATTAGCCAGAACAGGCTAGGATTATCAGTCACCAGGGCAGGGCTTGCTGCACCTCACGGTCCACAGGAATTCCCATTTTCCCGGGGACAGCATGCCACTCATGTCCTGGGCAGGGCAGGAAGAGGGATGATGCCACCCAGAGAGGCCTGAGAAGGGAAAACTAATGACAGGGCCATCACACCCTCTCTGGGCAGCAAATAGGGCTCTGGATGGGGAAAACAGAACTGGGCACAGGGGACAGGGGTGGCAAAAGATTTGGTGGCATGCCTTTTGGCAGCCACTTTAGTGGGATGCTGCGAGGGGATTATCTTGGCCTCAATCTCTTTTAATCTCTCCCGCGGCTTTGGCCCAAGCCCGAGATAAATACCTTTTAACGGATCTCATCTGACGTCAGGAGGCCATCAGTCTAATCACCCAAGCCACCTTTGGGCAAAGGAAGCCAGAGATGTGGACACCAGCCCCTCACCCTCTGACACGTCCTCGCCAAGCAGGAACCACCCAGCACCCCCACATAAATTATCAGGATGGACATGTGAGTGCTAGGATGTGCGGGACCCCTCGCCAGGGAGAGGAAATCTGAAATGCACACATCAAATCGTCATTTTCCTGTGATCCTGGAGAAGATGGGAAGCAAGAAAGGGTTGCCAACGCAGGTTTTCCAAGCTTGCGTGTTAAGGAAGTGTCAGGATTCAGACTGACTTCCCTTTCCATGGAGCAGACGCCCTGTGCTAACAGTGACTAGGGGATCACCCACCCACTTCTTACAGCACTGGTCCCGGTCCTACAGATTTCTTCCACTTGAACTGTAGTTGGGGTGTCCATACACTACTCATCAAGGCCTGAGTATGTCATGACCACAGATTGATCTCTGGCTCTAATGCTTCCCATGAAAAGGGTCACTGCTCTTTTTGATACTCCATATCCACCCCATTCAATTCCTGTTTGGCTACAATATAATCCCATCTTGGGACACTAATCCCCTGGGCAGTGACAGCAGATTGTCTTTCTATCAGGGTGGAAAATGATAAACAAAATCTCTCTTCTGATTCCAGGGGCAATTTAGTGCATGGACAGGGAAAAAACCCAAACAGACAAAAAAAAAAGAGGCCTTACTGCAGGGAAACGTGAGCATACAGTGCTTGTTCTTAAAAGCACTCCTCACCCTTTCCACATTACTTATGGCAGAGCTCACTTTCTCTCTTGCTCTCCCTTACTGGAAGTAGCTGGCATCTAGGCAAACACTTTTTTTGTTTCCTTTTACTGAGGGCTCAATGCCCTTCCATTATTTGTTAATTAAATTTCCACCAGCAACAAGTGTGCATATCTCCCTCGTGGTATACAGACTCAAGCTCCCACCAATATATGTGTCCAGCATTTTGCTTTTATTCCATATACTCAGGCTCTCATCTTCCCTGTCTCAAATAAGTTGCTAGGTTCTGGAGTTTGCAGATGCCTATGAAATTCAAAGGCTTCAATTTTGAGTTCATGAATGTGAGACAGCCCTTGCTAAAAGACCCCAGGCTTCTCCTCCCCACCTCAGTGTTAGCCCTGGATGACCAAGAAGTTGGCACTGAGAGGAGTGGGGTAAGAAGACTTTATCTTCTTACTTCTGAGTGACACAAACATGGTGAGGCAGTGAAGAAAGTTCCTGGTGTCACTGACTTCAACACTCTGCCCTTCTCTCATTTTTCAGCTGCTGGGACACCACAGAGAAGAAAGCTGCTTCCCTCTCCATCACTACAGCTCTAGCATGCTAATACATTGCTCCAGGCCTCCGTGGTCCTGGTCCTATTGTGACCTGCCAGGCCATGGTGTGTGCCAGTCCTGCCCCCAGGGCCCTGTGTACTCAGAGCTCATCTCTGGCCTGCAGCACCAGCTGCTTCCTGTCCAAGCCAGGCTTCTGTCTCCGATTCGCAGGCTTGGTTCCACTGTTGGGAACATGAGGCTCTGAGGAGGATCTGCTGCTGCTGCCCTGATGTTTTTGTCCATCATGCTGGTCCTTCTCCACAGCTCTCTGCTCCATCAGCTCCTCTGCCTTCACCCGTTCCTGCAGCCATGGAAAATGAAATTATGTGAGCCCTTCCCTGCTAAGGTCTCTGCTCTGCGAGCAGGGGCTGGCAAGACAGGTCTTGTCTTTGCCGCATCCATCCAGCCCCTCCAGAGCCCATTTTCTCTTGCAGGACCCACCACAGGCTGGCCCCTCCACCAGACACCTTGTCAGAGAGCAACCCACAGCTGCTGCACTAGGTCCTGCCTCAAGGGAAAGCTCAAAAGCTATTCCCCAGTGGGATTTGATCTCACTTGGAGGTACTTGTATATGTTTCTTCAGCATGGTGCTTTACCTGCTCAGCATGCTCCTGGGAGTGTGTGTACCAGAGAGCAATGGCACAGCGCCTGCCGTGGCTCACTGCCCACACACCATGGGGGTTCTCCTTGCCAGAGCTGAAAGCTACCAGCCTTCCACACTTAGGACGCACCTCAGCCTGCCAGGAGAGAGAAGAGACCATGAAGCCAGCAGCCCTCTGCTCTGGAGTTCATAGTCCTTATACAGAGGTGATGCTGCCGCTGGGAATGTGGAAGAGCAGAGAGCTGCTAGGCATCCAGGGCTAGTCTATGAGCAAGGTGGACCTTGGAGAGGGACAGAGAGAATCAAAGGGACAACAAAGGTCACAGATACCCAAAGACTGGAAGAGCCTGGAAAATCTCAGCTAAGAAAGAGTTACCCTCTCCTCCGTCTGAGATTTGCCTCAATTTGCCTTTAGTTGCCTGTATTTGAATCTGCCACAGCAGCAGCACTGTGTTGTTTTTGAAGTGGTCGGATCCGATAACCAACTAGTTTCCTCCCTCCCAGACCAAGTCCCACCCTCAGTCCTCTCTCCTTCTTTTGGCCAGTCTCACACTTACTGTGACAGTCACAGTGTCCATTTCAGTGAAGAAGAGGCCCCCACCTTGGAAGTCATCATTGAGGTAGAGAATGCCACTGTGGACAAAAAGAAAGAACACATATGGACAGTGAAGCTTATTCCTCCCAGGTGCTTCCCCACGCTACTTGTCACAGGAGGCTGTGGATACCACAGGATCAAAAAGAGAGTAGACCAGCTAGCAGGAGAATCCATTTGAGGGTGTTAAATACAGCAGTGCCTAGCTCAGGGGAGTCCCTGAGCTGAAAGCCACAGGAAGCTAGGAGAGTATGCCAGGGAATTAGCTCCACGCGCTTGTCCCGTTTTGTTTTGGTCTGTTTATAATCCTCAGCAGCATGCATTGGTGGCACTGCTGTGACAATGCTCTGGGCTTGACAGACCTTGGTTCTGACCTGGCATGACGTTGTTTATGTTTCAAGGTTGGAAATAATCCAAAGCCTGGAAGAGGAGACTGATCAGCAAAGAAAGTCTTGTCGTAACAGGCAAGGAATTTCATGGTAACACAAGAACAGTCAAAAAGAAGCTTGGTGCATTCAGAAAATAGAATTAAAACAAGAAATTTCTTTACTGAAGTAAAAAAAAAGAGAAGTAGTGAGGCCACTGTGTAGCACAGGTGAGACCACAGTCAACTGGGTGTAAGAATGGACTACAAACTACTTGAGTTTCTCTTGGTATTCAATTAAGCCGATTACATCAGAGGAACAACGGAGGCTCTTAATTAATGGGACTGGGAGAAAGAAATAGAAATCAGCACTGTGGTTGCTGAAGCAACGTAAAGGATATAAGGACAGTGAGAGGATTACTAACCCTGAAACCCAGTAAGTTATAGCTCTTCTGCCATAAGGTTTTAATAAGGCTGTGAAGCCAGAGTGGTAACATGAGTGGAGAAAAGCAAGGATAGCTTTCACATGTACAAAGCGACAGGAAGGTAGGGATAACGGTTGAAGCATAAACAGGCCTGTTATCCGGACCTCAATAGTCTGCAGGGCTTTAGAGCCCATTTCTGAGGAGAAGGGTAATTGGAGGGCAAGAGGTAAATGGAAAACGGTCTTACAATGCAACATGGGGGTAGTAAAAGCAGACTGGGCTAGCCACACAATGTTTGACAACACAGCTGATTTTCCAGGGAAAGACTACATGCTCGACCTCAGCAATCTGGACTCTGGTAAAAGTAAATGATGCCACTAGAGCAATTCTGAATGAACACAGAGAAGGTGAATGTGCATGAACAGCACACAGTGACTAGTGCATTGCTGGCACTGAAAGGATCACTGTTCACTTGGAGGAGCATTGCTGGGACCCTTGGGCTCCTTGGTCCAATCCTGTTCAATAGTTTCATTAATCACCATAGCACAAATACACAGAAAAGATCCAGGAAGTTTGGAGCACAGAGAGACCTCATTCAAAAGGACACCGTAAGACCTCAGCCTTTGTGAGCTGGTTGGTCAGTCACAACTCAAACTGCAAGAGGACAGGGATACTCCTGAAAATAGCTCAGTGGCATAGATTCCAGGAAGGTATTTTAACATACATTCAAGTGGAAGTCAGAGAAGCCCACTAGCCCAGAAGGACTGAAGTGACAGGATGGCTTTCCCACAGGAGGGACAGAGATCTAACCAGCTACACGACAAAGCCTGGTACACTTCACAATCTAACTGTACCAAGTCAACACCTGTATCAGAAAGGAAATGCCTCAATAATACTGGAATTGCCTCTAAGTCCCACATCCTTACCCTAGGCTGCTCAGAGATTTCTGCTCTGGATACAGCTACCACTCAAAGATAAGGCAAGCAAGATTTCTGGATGCTAAGGGGTGGGATGCTAAGTAGGAGAAATCAGCTGTAGTGAACTGACCTCATCTGGCTGCAGTGTGCAACAACTGGCATCCTCGTTAGAATATATTTCAGGTTCTTTCAAAGAAGAGTAACAAAACCTGCCACAGGCTGGAAAAAAAATACCCTCTCACAAGGAATGGAAAAATCTAACACAAAGTATTGGCAGTGAATCTTGAGAGAGATGAACAGAGAATAGTCAACAAAGTACTGATTGCTCGAACAAAGGAAATACAATGAGCTTGGTTATCCCTCTCCTGTAATGCATGGAAGACTCTAAGAGATGGAACTTGACTAGAAGAAACAGACTGTCAAAAGGGCTGGCAGTGGACTGTAGTACTGTGGTAGACCCACAAGACAACAATTTGGCATTATGGTTCTAGTCCCTGCAGCCTCCCAGCCTCACCCTGCACTCTGATGAAGCTGGCTATGAGAAGGGAGGGAAAAAGTGCAGGTTGTCTTCCCAGCCTAGGGAAGGTGTTTCACACCTCCTTTTGAAACCACTGCTGCAGCCTTCTGCCTGATGCTACAGTCCTGGATGGCTCTAAGCCAACAACCCATCACTTGGTTTCCATAAGCTAAGCTGATCCTCTGATGAGGCCAAGGAGATGTTCTGATCTCCACATGATCTAATGCAGGTCCTCTTACCTGTAGTCCCTGTACACATAGGCAGGCGGTTCTCTCCAGCACTCTTGCCCCTCAGGATCCAAGAGACAATTATCAGCATGGACAGGATGACTAAGATCCATGCGACCTTCCTGTTCCCCTGAAAAGTTATCAAAATGAATATGGGCGTTTTCAGCTTCAAGAAAGAATAAGGCAGAGAGAAAGGGGCACAGTGAGAGTAAAGAGAAGAGAGTCCCCCGAGAGCACATGGCTGGGTCTGAGGAGGCTCTCCAGGAGACAGGGAGTAACAGGATGGAAGATTCTTTACCGTCTACGGCCGTGCGACACACCAGGTGTGTGAATGAAAAATGGAGTTTCTTTCCAGGAGCAAAATAGGACTCTACGATTTTCCGAGATTTCTCACTGGCCTGCAGAAGCAATTTGGCATATCTCCAGTCCACGTCCCCATTTTGGGCCAGCTACAAGCAAAAACCAAGTCTGTTAGAATACTTACAAAGACGCTCCAAGAAACGATACACGTACACAGTACAGAAGAAGAGGCCTGTGTAAAGTCCTGTGGTGACTCAGGTAAGAAAAGAACACATTTTCTCATTTAAATATAAGACAGGAGTACAACTGTACAGAACAGCAATTCTTTTCTTCTCTCAGCACCTGAAGCCATATCTGGAATGCAGCATCATCTTGCATCCCCCAGTACACGAGAGATACCAGCAAACTGTAAGACCCTTCAGTGATGGGTCTTAACATGTCAGGAACACTGGAGCATATGACTTAGAAAAAGAGGCTGAAAGACCTGGGTTTCTTCAGCCTACAGAAAGTTAAAGGAGGATCTAACTACAGTTTCCTGTCACTTAAAAGGGGGTTACAGAGAAGATGGAGACAATTTCTTCTCAGAGGGACACACTAGAAAGACAGGAGGCAAAAGACAAAAGCTGCAGCAAAGGAAATTTTGGGTAGATATAAAGAAACATTTCATCCTCACAAGAGTGGTACAGCACCGAAAAAAGTGCCCAGAGAGGCTGGGGAATCTGCACCCTTGGAAATGCTCACGGCTTGCCGACGCAAAATCTTGAGGGATCTCATCTAGCTTTGTAATTAGATGTGCTGTAAGCAGCAGGTCAGATCAGAGATCTCCAGAGGCTCCTTCTACCTTAATTTATGCTCCAGATCTAAGCTAAGCATGTCTGTAAGGCTACCAGGCAGGGACAAGTAGCAGTCTTGAAACCCTGCCTCACAGGAGAGAAAACACTTGTCAGGCCCTCCACGTACAACATGCCTAAACATGATTGTTGGAGGAAGAGGGTGAGAGGAGACTGCACATGTGCTTGTGAGGAAGATAACACATCCATGAGACCATACAGAGTGCAATTCACAGAGAAAAATTTGTGTATGGCAAACACTCTTCCTAGACAATCAAGAAGGTAGGAGACTTACAGAGCCACTTTACCTGCATGGCCTTCAAAACTGTTAACCCTTCAAATCTCTCATGTGGGGTGTGAGGTGAACGTCTGGTCCGGTAGCCATCTCCAGCTTCTCCAGCTGCCTGGAATAGAAGGATACACATGACAGGCATTAGGCTGCTATCCCTCCTCCATGGAAACCCTACTACCCTGTCTGCTGAGGAGGAAAGCACACGTACAGGAGCTCTTACAGGACCCAGGTCTCACCTTTGTCAGCTGCAGAAGGTCCTTACACTCAGATTCTGTCAGCACTCTGTCAAACACAACCCTCTGGGTTCCATTCATCTGGTGGGAATCCATTGTGACAGCAATACCCTCAAAAGGCAAAGGACCTGTTGAGAAGCAAGCACAGACAGGCATGAGCAAGCTTTGGACAAGAAGCCCCCAGCCTGGATAAGGAAGTGGAGAGACACTATACATTCTCTGAGAAGACAGGACAGTTCCCCAGAAGTGCCCATCCCTTGCAGAGCTGGGCCACTTGTAACCCTCACATGCTTCAGGGGAGCCAGAGCATCAGCTGGGGAAGCTGGCCTACAGCGTGTGCTTCAGGAGCCAGCAGACACTTGGGGCTTGCTGGGAGAGCAGCAGGGAGCTGGGGAAAAGTTGAGTGCACTGTGCATCGCAGCAGAAGAACAGGTCCAGCCTACTGGAGCGAGGTTCTGGCAAAAAGAAGCAGGTAAACACCTCCGTCAACCCTCCTTTCGATCACGCATCTTATCCCAGAATCATCTCCAATGAATCTTTCTACTCTCTTTAGCCTCAAAGAAAAGCAATGGGTATTAATTGGTGATTTGGTCTTTTGATCTTTGGCCTTTTCTTCCACCCTCTCTGACATCTATATGGTCAGGAACTCCAAGGCACCCAGGCTCTCAGAATGATCTGCTCTCACACGTGTCACAGCAGAGAACCATTTGGGCTCATTTTAAGCAAAGACTCCAGGACAGAGCCCTGCAAGCGGCTGTGTGTCCACACATAATAGAGGACCAGAAAGAACACAAGACTCTGCACTGCACTCTGCATCATTCATCCCACAAACCATTTGGACTTCTCTCTTTAAGGGAAAGACTCACCCAAGCCAAATCGTCTGTTTCCAGTTTTCATTTCCCACCCCCTTTCTCCTTGTCTCCTTCAGAAAGATGTTGTTTGAAGTTGGACTGGTGGAGCTGAACCAGGTTTAGTGTAGACACTCCAGCCACACTGAACAGGGATCTGCACATCCACAGGCTTGTCACATATTCAGGCACCACTGCTCTCAGCTTCTCCAGCCATAGTGCTCTTTTAGTTCCCATCCCAGACATGTACACAGCAGATTTTGCAAGATTACACATGCATCAGGGAGGGGAGAAAAGAAACAGTGAGAAGACTTGCTGAGCCATTCAAGTCAGTTTGCAGCTATGCCAGCATTCAAATGTCTGAGGATGGAAGAAAAGACAGCACTTAGCCTGATTAAGCCTGCCTGCATCCAAGGCCTTCTTCAAGCTCTTTTACTCACCCCTCTTCTCCCTCTCTTCCACTCTCAGAGTTTCCTGCTTTTGCTTCTCTTGATCCTCTCTCGGGTGCAAGGGAAAAAACAGAGAGCAGGGCTGTCAGTACACAGAGCTATGCTTAACCCTCCTCTGTGGTAGCATTTCACACCCTTCCTGTTCCTGTTTTGCTTATTCCTCTAGGTATCACTGTTTCTTGTACCCATCCCCCTACTTACATTTCTGTCCTAGTACACCTGTTGAATCTTACCTGTATTTCTCCTTTAGATTTTCAGGAATCAGCTCATCTGGAGTCCAAAGATCCTGTAGGAACAAATGCAGGTGGTTCAGTATGCAACAAACCTCTTCCACAGCAGATCATGTCAAACAGCCAGTCCCTTGTCCTGCTTCTCCAGTGAATATCAGATCAACGGCACTGGCCCACTTCTCAGGACAGATTGAGCCAACACGTATGGTTACAGCAGAAATTTCATATTAATTTCAGTCTTGGAGCAACAGAAAGACCTTAAAGATGAACCTCAAAGACTTCAGGGTCCTTCTCCTAAGCATCCAATCCTTTCTGGATCATGTCCTACTAAAGTGAATTCTGACAACTGTCTTGGTGACATCAGGGCAGGAAGATTAAGATGACACTGTTACTTACAGGGTCATTAAAAGTTTCTCCCAGATGCTCCACTGCATAATAAATCAGCTTCTTCTCCATCAAAGATCTTTGCACATAATTTTGAATACTCTAAGGAAGAAAAGAGACTGTTAAACAACCACCCCACAAATGACAACCCCACCCCTGTCCAGGGCAGAAACCTGACTCAACACACTGCTGTGCACTATTAAAGCCTGGTTCTGTCCTGGAGGGACACTGACTGTCACAGACTATAAGTAAACTCAGGCTCCAGTTTCTTTAGCCCTGGGCTCGACACACGTCTGCAGTGAAACACATTTCCCTTTTTGTCTCCTGGACTGTGATCCTGTCATATGGAACAGGGGAGGGCCAAAAGTACAGACCTGGAGTTGTAACTACCTGTCTGGCTGTGATAGCTGTGTCCTCTCCCAGTTCTGTGCGATACTGTTTCATTTTCTCCAACATGGGCTCGTCGGTGGGATAGAACAGCAAGTAGGAAGCAGCACATTCAGCAGCTAATGTCTGGTTCCCAACTTGGGCAGGGACAGAAGAGAACAAACACATATGTCTCTGAACGACTTGACTTTTGCAGCAAATGTGTATAGGCCAGCAGCACCCAATGTCCTGGTCAGGATGCAGCAGAAGGCCTTACACCAAGTACATATCAATCCCTGCCTAGCTGGGCCCTCTACTTAAGGATGGGCAGAGAATACAGGGAATGAGCCTGGCAAAGAATGGACCCACCTATAATACTTACTGGGAGTTTGTGCAGAAGAGACAGAGAGAAAATAAGTATATATTTGAAAGAGAGATGGTAGCATCTCCCTCACTCAGCAGACATGATGAGGGGTCTGGAAGCTTCTTTGAGGTATAAGTTTTACCACCGGTCTGACAGACGAGATAAGAGACAGCTGGGTCAGTGTGGGAAGGAGCACAGGTACATAAGACAAGGGCTGAGGGACGTGTGAAAGTGACAGGGTGACAGGATGACCTGACTGAGCATCAGTTCGGAGCTGACTCAGAAGGAACACCACTGCTGAGATGCATGAATAGGCTCTAGATAGGAAGTGGGGGCCTGATCTTGAGCCATGTACTGAAAAGGAGGCTATAAAACACACAGCAAATAGTTGTAGCAAGGACTTGAAAAGGAGCATGAAGGAAAGAAGTAGGAACAGCCCCACATTACAGAAGCTGTGCAAGGAGACTGAAGCAGACCACAAGGGACCTCTTCCAAGGTGGCCACAGGCTCGAGCAAGAGAAGAGAGGTTTTGGGAAGAGTCAGGGGGCAGACAGAAGTAGTCAGTGCACCACTTTTCCCTATGACGTGCTACCCTCCAGGACCAGAGGCAAAGGACAAGTGTAGGGGTGCCACAGCATAACCTGCTGGGTTGTGGCTCTGCTCACCTTGGTTGTAAGCAAACTGTAGTAAATCAAGGTGAGAGGGTATGAAATCTTCTGTGGCAGAAATCCGCCCTGGCTTTGTGGCAATTTCAAGGACGCATTGCTGCCTGCACTTCAAAACCTGAATATAATGGGCTGCAAGAGAGAGGAGGAAGAAAGACAGTAGCTCACACTTCTTCCAGACAGGAGTGTTGGGAGATGGGGCATGTTCAGTATGGAGACCAGGGCCTTCCTACCCAACCCTTTGCGCCTCTAACACTACCTGCAATGGCTTCATACAGCCCAGGTTGCATCTCCTCCTCCTCTTCCTCCTCATCCTCCCAAGGCCCTTCACACAGGGCACGACACTCTTCCAGTGCTGACAGGGCCTCTGTGAGTGACTCCTCCAGCCTGGCCACAGCATGCAGGTACTCATCTGCATTGTAGTGCTGCATACCAGCCTCATACGCTTCCTGTAAAGGACAAATCCAGGTCCCTTCATCAGTGTGTGTGGCACCAAAGTATGCCCTGTGACTTCTGAGTTGCTCACAGGTGCAGACACCTAGGGGCCTGCCTGGTCATGCACAGCCCACCACCCAGTGACAACAAATCTTACAGACTTAAGCCAAATAACTGTGACCAAAAGGTCTGTGTCACACTTGCAGTGGTTCACCTGTACCTTGAAGAGAAAGCTCCAGGGAGATCTTCTTGTAGCCTTTCAGACATAAAGGGGTCTGAGCAAGGCTTATGACCAACGCCTGCAGTGACAGGACAAAGGGCATTGGTTTTAAACTGAAAGAGGTTTTTGACTGGAGATAAAATATGATGCTTGCTGAATTGGAGACAACATACTTGTTACACTGTAACTGTAACATGTAACATGTCACCATGACTGTAGTAAGACACTGGAGCATGCTGCCAAGAGAAGCTGCGGATGCCCCAACCCTGGAAGCTTTCAAGGCCAGGTTAGATGGGGCTTGGAGCAACCAAGTGTCTTGCTAGCAGAAAGTGTCCCCAGGCATCACCTAGTCGTTGGGACTAGGTGATCTTTAAAGGCTAAGTCACGCTATGATTCTATGCATGGGGGCCGTGTCTCAAGCCATGGCCTCTGTGTGGGAACAGATCAGGGTCGCAGACCAGTCGCCAGGATGGAGTAAGAACTACTGGCTCTTGCTAAGCCCTCACCAAGTGCAGCGTGGCCTCCAGGTCCCGGAAGTTGTGCGACTTCACCCCCGACATACGCCGGTACTTCTCGATGTCCTCCCGCATTTGGAGGTGCTGGGGGTTAGCCACGAAAAACGTGTGAGCGGCAGACACGGCCTGATCCAGCTTCTTCAGCTGCGGAGAAAAGGCAGCAGCGCCGTCACCCGCCACCCTCCTGCGGGCCCCTTCCCTCCACACCCACCCCTGACTCCAGCTGTTCCCTGTATTCACCCTTGCCCACCAACCCCTCGGACTGACAGCAGCCCCCAGAGCCTGCCCGCGGGCTTGGACTAGGTGAACTTTGAAGCTTTCTTCCAGGCTAAATCACTCGACGATTCTACGCGTGGGGACCGTGTCTCAAGCCGCGGGCACAGA